GGCGCTGCCATTGGCCCGGCTGTCATGTGGTCGCGCGGAGGCATCCGCAATTACACGGGAATGTTTTCCTAGAGATGTCAGCCTACAAAGGACACAATCTCTCTTCCTCAAATTCCGCCCCAAAATGTCCTTTCCCAACAGCTCTCCTGCCGCTAATACTTTTTTAGTAGATTCTCTCATCAGTGCGTGCAGGAGTGACAGTTTCTACTCCAACAGCGCCAGCATGTATATGCCACCTAGCACAGACATTGGGACGTATGGGATGCAAACCTGTGGACTCCTTCCGTCTCTGGCTAAAAGAGAAGTTAATCACCAAAATATGGGTATGAATGTACATCCTTATATACCTCAAGTAGACACTTGGACAGACCCGAACAGATCTTGTCGAATAGAGCAACCTGTTACACAGCAGGTCCCCACTTGTTCCTTCACTACAAATATTAAAGAAGAAAGCAATTGCTGCATGTATTCCGATAAGAGATCCAAACTCATTTCTGCAGACGTCCCTTCCTACCAGAGGCTGGTGTCTGAATCATGCCCCATTGAGAACCCCGAGGTTCCCGTCCCAGGATATTTTAGACTGAGCCAGACCTACGCCACTGGGAAAACCCAAGAGTACAATAATAGCCCTGAAACGAGTTCAACTGTAATGTTACAGTTAAATCCTCGCGGCAGCTCCAAACCGCAGATATCTGCGCAACTTCAGCTGGAAAAGAAAATGAATGAAAACCCGAACAACCAAGACAGCACCGCTAAAGTCTCTCAAGTGGAAAGTCCCGAGCCCAAGTCCACGTTGCAAGACGAGCGGAGCTGCCTGCCCGAAGGCTCCGTGTCCAGCCCAGAAGTCCAGGAGAAGGAGAGTAAAGGTCTGTATTACCGAGTTTAAGCCGTGCCGTGGTGTAACTCCAACACGCCAGCACCATAAAGCACGCTCGAATATACTAACGAGCATCACAGCCATCACATTTAATGATAAGGAGTATCGGGCTGCAGGTGCTGTGTCTCTGAAGATTTTGGCAGGCAAAAATGCTTCACAAAAGGGTCCAAAGATTTTCTGTAGAGATCTGCCTCTCTCGTGCATGCAGACCGCCTCTGTGATGCGGGGAATATAGCCGTGTGCTCCCTAACGCGCTGCAGCAGCCAAAAGCAGCCCCATACCTCTAAAAAAGCAGGTCTGGAGGTTGTAAAATACGACCAGCTCAACTTTTCTCTCGTAATATTTCGCTGATTTTTTTTTTTCCACTGAGCCTTACTGCTGTTTGATTGCATTTAAAGTTAATTACGATCCTATTAAAATAGGTGAGGAATAGGTGCTACCAGGCTGGGTAGAGTTGGAAACAAATGCACAATGAAAGCAGCAGCCCGCTATCTGCCTGGTCCAAAGGTGGAATATTTCAATGTGGTGCTTTAGATAACCTTGGGTTGGTCTCCAAAAGTGCAACAGTATTTTACTAATGCGTTTGAAAGCTAAAGGTGGTGGTAATCTGATTTTATTTTCCCTTTAAAAGTGCACTAAAGCCTTCCTTTCGAACGGCGTGTGTCGAAGAATCCCAAAACGGGAAATTTTCTGCTATCAAAATGTACTTTGCAACCTCTAGGTCGATTTTTACCCTACGTGTGCATGGAGATTCTCTTTATCTGAATTATATTTAGCAGCCCAGGTCTAGGTTGATATGGCGCAGATTACTTTCTAGTGAAAAAAAAAAAAATCTAAAATGAAAATGAAAAAAAAAAATATCCGAGGCAGAGAGTGTTAATTTCTTGTATATCTTTTTGGCTGGGAAAACGCCTATGTGTGCTCTAGGTGTGCTTGTGCAATTCAGCTGATGGCTGGGGGGAAGCTGCTTGAAAATACAGTGCGAGGGTGTTTGGTAATTGGGATATTTTCGTTGCAAGTGTCGTGGGAGCCCGAGGCGGCCATGGCGAGGCTAGACCCGTTAAAATGTGGCCATGGGGCTGGGTGTCAGGCTAAACATTGTTGAAAAACTAAACGCCAGCTGAAAACTTGAGAGCCCATTTCTGGAAGGGGCAGGAGAGAGGGGCGGCCGCAAGGCAGGGTGCCGTGTGGCGGGGACGGGCGAGCCCAGCCTGGCAGCAGATCCGCTCTCGTGCCCACACCTCACCCGAGCTCTGTTTAATGCCAACATCCACCATATCTACCAGACACTGCAGAGAAGGGGTCATGGCCAAGGGTACACTCTAACAGCCTGAGGTATTTTTGATTTTTTTTCTTCTTCTTCTTTGATTTTGATAGAGGAAATCAAGTCTGATACTCCAACAAGCAATTGGCTAACTGCAAAGAGTGGCAGAAAGAAGAGGTGTCCTTATACTAAACACCAAACACTGGAATTAGAGAAAGAGTTCTTATTCAATATGTATCTCACTCGAGAGCGCCGTCTAGAGATCAGTAAGAGCGTAAACCTCACTGACAGGCAGGTCAAGATTTGGTTTCAAAACCGCAGAATGAAGCTCAAGAAGATGAGCAGGGAGAACCGAATCCGGGAACTGACCGCTAATCTGACCTTCTCTTAAACCCTAACCCCGGGGGGGGCACCAGTGAGGAATGGGCACAGCACCGCCACTTGCTAAAGGCAGGAGAGACTCTGGCAAAACCCGGCATTTTCCAGTTTTATTTTGTTTTGTTTTGTTTTGTTTTGTTTTTCTGATAGAATGTGACTCTTCGTCCTTCTTTTAGCGCTGCAAGTGAATATGTATTACTATGACGAGTATATATAAAACCTAGCACGTGTAATTTATTTTTGTTCTCATCGTAATGCAGGGTAACTATTATTGAATATTATCATTTGGTCTTAACTTATTGGAACTGTCGAACATCCAAGCAATGTGACTTTTTCATGTTTTTACTAACAAAATGGTATTTATGTGGGGCTGTTACACGGGCCATAACGTTTTGAGTACGTTCAATACTTTAAGAAAAAGAGGTGGGGGAAACTTTGGGGGCGGGGGGAAAGAGAAGCACATTATAATGTAACTATCCTCGCAAATGAATTTAGAGATTGTCCTTCGTAAAATGGAATATTTCCTTCTTCTCCATTGTAGAGATTTCCTTGTGGTGCATATGTGGAATAGTAGTCGTTCAGCAGCAATATGTCCTTCTTGTGCATGTTCTGTTCGCATGTATAATGCAATAAACTCTGTAAACTACTGCGGTTCCTTTGGTTTTCTACAAATGTTTAAAGCACGGACCCAGGTTGGTCTCCTGATCTTTCCCTGTCAGCAGCTCTTTGGACTGATGTACCTTCTTTGCCATTTTCTGGTCTTTGTGTGTGTCTGCCTGGTTTTCTTTCTCTCTTTTCCCCCTCTTTTCTTTTTTTTTTTTTCCCTCCCCCTTCCTTTTTTTAGGGGTGGGGTGGAGACTGGGGCGGGAAATGATGTAAACCTAATTCATTTATAATTGTGCCTGTAAACAAATGATTAATTGATAAAATGTTGTGTGATGTTCGCAGTCTGACAAACTGAATGCAAAAAAAAGAGAAAGAAAAAAAAAAAAGAAAAACGTAGTAAAATATTATGACCTAAACTGGACATCCTCATCCAATCAACTCATAAATGGTAAGTGATAAAAAATCTTTCTACTACAAGCTGTCAGCAATATGTGTGTCATTTTATTTGACGTTCGTATGTTGATTTAAAAAATATCAGTCACTGCGTGCTTACAAAGTGTAGACTTTGATTTCGTGTCTTTACTTGCTTAAAAAAAACCCACCATACCCAATGCAAAGCTGGATATAAATAAATCTTAAGGAGTTCGGTTCTTGGTCAGCTCAAGAGTTTTCAGAAGATGGTGGATGGGAAAATACTCCCTCAAACATCTGGCAGGGTTGGCTTTTTTGAGCAGAAATGCTCCCAAGCGTGCTTACAAAAGTACACCAGCCTCTTCAGACCTACTTTTGTCACCATGCACCGTTTCTGTTTGCTCAGAGATCGTTTTATTTCGCGCAATTCCATTTTAGTAGCACACATCCAGATAATGAAGTTCACGACTCTTAACGCTTTCGGTACATAGCTGAAAAATGCTATATTAGCAGGGCTCTGCACTGGAAGCTGAGGAAGGGCGCGTGTGTGTGAGAGCGGCTGAGTGCCTGTGTGAGCAGAAATACGAAGCAGAACTGCAAATGGCTTGCAAATGAACATGACTCCAAATTGAAGTGCAAATACTTGGGCATACTTTCACCTTCAAACGGTACTGGAAAAATAGCGTCGCTACTGTTTGCGCTGGGAAACCAGCTTGCTCACAATCAACGCCCGTTCCTTCCCTTGATTCAGTTTCTGAATCCAGAAATTAAATCCAAGACAGTGCCAATGTTGTCTGACTCGAGGACGCTGATACTGCTCATATCGCTGCTGGTGGCGTTGTGTTTTGCTCTCTTGTCGCTGGTATTTAATTTAAGCCAATACTTCCTCATGTGCACGTTTACTGGTAAGGCAGAGGTATATTTTCCTCAAACCAAAGCATCACCATTTTGAAGCTGCGGGAGCCGCAAGCGCGTAGGTATTTTGTGCTTGCTCTCGTCTCGAAAACAAACAACAAAACAGTGCTGAAACTCAACCCGCCCCCCTTTAAATATTGCATACATTTGAACCGTCTTTTATTTTCCTTTAAAGATACTCGATGCCTCACCAAAGAAGTTTCAGCAGTGGGAAGTAATTAGCTGGCTCCATACCAAGTGTTTAACGTATGTAAAAAAGGCGGCTCACTCTAATCCGCCTTCCTTATCAATTTATATATATGTGAAGCGAGGGACAATTCTTCGCCATATCACAAACCCAGCTACTAGGGAAAAATGTAGGAGAAGTATGAAAACGCAAAGGAAAATGCTAAAGGGAGATGATCAAAAAAAGAGAGAGAGAGAGAAAGGGGGGGGAAAGATAAGAAAAAGGGAAGAAAACAAGCAAAAAAGAGTAATAAATCATTAAATAAACAGGAATTTCAGTCCCTTCCTCATACCGGCCGGCGAGTAGGAAGTGTTTTCTCAGTGCTGTTGTTTGTGCCCTCGGCGGGCTGTGCTGCGGGCTCTCCACTAACTCTGTGCATTTCCTCCAGATCCCGACACAGCCGCCGTCCCTCGCTCAGGAGAGCAGGCGTGGGCACAAGACCATGGGTAATCTGGTTTTCGATGCTAACCGGGCACCGTTTCGCTCGGGGAAGGATAGGTGGGCCGGGGAGGGAGAGGAGGAGAGGGAAGGGAAAGGAAGACAAAGCGGAGGGCAAAAAAGTCTCCTGTAGGCATTGAACGTGGCCCGCGCGGCCCGGCCCGGCTCCCCCTGACCTAGGGGCGGAG